AAAAAAAAAAAAAAAAATAGTTGAAATAAAAACACCCACAAATAACAGCTCGTCTTTTCCCCTGAGGAGGTAGACAGAATGAAAATAAATGAAGCCATCATTCTTTATTGGATGCTGGCAAGAATCTTGAGCTGGTATGGAAGATTATTTGTTGGATAAACAATTCTTATTTTATATACTTTTATGCATCTCTAAAGCTCATTTCAGCTAGGCCTTATCCCATAAAACCCAAGGGAACTGCAGTCATTCAAAAGTGAAGATACGTTTTTGAAATGGAATCAGAACAGTGGTGTAGAAAATGGGTAAAATGGGAAATAAAACTGGATTCCATAAGAGTGGCTAGATAAGTCTGTGAAGGAAAGTCTACAGGCAGCTATTTCAGGGTGAAAAAGAAAACGTGGTTCTTCAGATGAGAACTACAATTGGCTGCCATACGTTGGATTCCATCTGAATATGTGTTTTATTTGCCCTGTACAATGGTTTACAAATATCCAAGCCAACACTAAAAAAGCTGTGAATTTCCATAGAAAACCAAGATTTCTGGCTTCTCTTAAAACACAAGCCCACACTAAGACCCCCTTTCCACTTGCGATCAGTTGGCAGGGTCCTGCTAGAGTCTTTTCCTTTAGACAGCAGTGAACTCTGAAATGGCACATGTCCCCATCACTCCTCTGACCCGGTTCTTAGCCTCCGCATTCTATTATCCGCCAGGCCCTGCAGACCTCAGAATGTGCAGCTTTCTTTCACAACCCAGATGATTCACAGGTGTTCAAGTTGAAGACCAAACTACTGGCTGACCTAATGTTAGCCAGTTACCATCACCTTGTGTAATTCAGTGAGGCCAAGTCCCAAACACTGGCTACAGTAAGACCTCTCCCCTTTCAGAAGCCCTCAGCGTGGCCGTTTTAAAATCCAGCCCTCGCATGTTTAACAGTCTTCCCCTCAAGCAGTCGGGGGCCTCCTTCTCTGCAATCAGGGCTTCCTGGGCTCTGTGACTGCTTGCCTAATAGAATACAAGAGAAATGATAGCTGTGTGTTTCCAGGCCCAACCTAAGGAAACTGGCTATTTCCACAGACTGTGTCTTGGGCCATTTGCTGCTAGAACCCAGCCACCATGCTGTGAGGAAGCTAAAGCACCTTGTGGAGAGGCTGGCACAGGGAGAACACAGCCAGGCCAGTGAGCCACTTTGGAAGTAGATGCCCAGCCCCAGGAGAGCCTCTGCAGCATGGCATCCTCACTAGACCCCACCCACATTTCAGATTCATAAAACAAGTGACTGCTGTAGTTTTAATCCAATGAACTCTGGGATGGTTTGTTATGCAGCCATCAATAAACAGAGCACCCATTTGGTCTGAACACTGAGAAGGGCTTTCATAGCAGATGAGGGAGAACCAGGAAGGTGCACTTCCCCAAGCGACGGCCCCCACGTGGTCTTGCTCACCTGGCCGATGTGCCTTTGGAACTGCCATATTCATTACTCTTCCTCCATCCTGAGGTTTTGGGGGAGATGCAGTGAACCTGCAGATTCCCGATTCGGAAGGGGTGCTGGAGGTCAGACTGTCCGTGTACTCATTTGTCCCTGCCGTCAACTGTTCAGATGACGTGTCTGATATGAAGCACTCTGTGATGGTGAACTTGGCGTGCCTCAGTTGCTCTTCCATCTTGGCGTGTTCATAGGCCCTGGCCAGTTCTTCGTAAGTGGAGGAGGCACTTTCTGTGGAGACCATGCTGCTTCTTGCTCGATCTACACCATGAAAGACAAAAACAACACGGACGACTCACCATCAGAAGTCTGAACCAACGGCATGGCCCTTCCTGGCTTGGGACTGTTTTCTTCCAGATCATGGTGGGACCTGGTAGGAGTTCTGGTTCCTTGTCAGAGGCTCCTGAGGCCAGCTTCACAAGCCTCAGCAGATCTGGCTAAGGAAAGCTTTGTTGCAACCAAATTGCTGTAGTCAGATGTTCCAGCTTGGGACATTTCCATAAATAAGTAATGCATTCCCTCTACAAAAGTCCTGCTTTTAGTGAAAACAGCAGCACTGGCAGCACCCCTCTCTCTGCTCCAACCTGCAAATGGATCTGTGCCCTAGAGACTCTTTAATTGGCATGAATGATTTGAGCTGCAGTCCAGCTTCTGGGGCCTCAGCTCAGGAAGGAAGATGTGACGATATTTAGAAATAAAGACGTGACATTGCACGGAAATTGGACACAAGTGCAGAATGGTCCGCAACCCCTGGGATGCATCTTCTGTTGTGATTACCCGCTATGGGGACTAGAAAACCATCAGGACAAAAACCGGTGCCCACATGCCTTTGAGCTGGGCCACGTCATCTTGGTCAGGGAGATGTGTGCATTTCAAATGCACTAAAAAGTTTTAAGGTCACCTCTGCGGAACTCTGAGACTCTTCTAAGAGAAATCACAGCCATAAAAATAAATTCACATGGCGACGATCCACCTCTGGAACACTGTTTTTGAAGTATATCGTCAAGAACAAAAGAAAAATGAGTATTAATATTTCCTACAGCTATTAGATTCAGACGTAATTTCTTTTCAAAATTTAAGGGGGAGTGGTGGGCAACCCACTGCTATTCTTAGGCCCTGTCTTCTCTCTGAAGTGAAAACTTGGTGGTTGATGGCATAGACCGAATGACTTACCTTATAAGCAACCCCTGTTTAATTGTCAAACGGATCAGCCTATGTTCCCTATAGAGGGTGCTGCGGCCTCATCATGTAACTTCAAGTGCAGTGTCTTAATCCTGGAGAAGGTAGTGGGTCAGACGCCCTCAGAGTGTAATCAGCAATTATCGCAATCACGGGGGTGCAAATTTAAAAACGTCTCTATTTCTCCCAGTGGGGTAGGAACTAAATGGAGAAATAAGCTTGGCTCTAAGATTCAGGACACCTGCAGAAGAGATGCAGTTTGGCTCTGTGTTGCCTTGTGTGGAGTAAAGGCTATGCAGTTGTATCGGTAACTGTTAGATAAACCGCTTAACAATTTGAAAGTGACCTTCAAAAGAACATCAGTAGGAGGGAGGAAGCCGTCTCTCCCCTCCCCAAGGAGCCAATGAAGCTCGAGGTGTGGGGGCTGTGCTGGTCTCCAGGGATGGAAGAGGCAGCGTCAGGGCCTACCTGTGTCTTGCGAAGGGCTGACGCTGTAACTGTCGCTCTCTTTGTCTACTGATCCTGTAGCCCTGGGTGTTGGCAGCCTCCAGTCTGTGGTGAGGGTGTGTGCTGAGATGGTGGGGTGGGGTCTGTTGAGGGTCCACTGGCTGGCATAGCGGTTTCTCGCTGTGGGCCCAGCCTTGGCATTCCTCCTGGTGGTGGGATCTGTGAAGAGCCAAGAATTGTGTCTGTCTTTGTCTGCAGAGGAGTGTGGTCAGCTGAGAGCAAGAGCGGAGGTCAGTGCCACCCACTCAGCCCTGCTGACTTGCCCACACCCTCCAGGAAAACTTCCTTGACTTCTCCTGTGCAGAGGATACTTTCCCTTTCCTTTACGGCTTGAAACCTTCATCTGATACTTACGTGTTTAATCAGCCCTGAAAGGAAAAGAATACCCTGCTTGGATTCAGAAGTTACATATTTGAGTCTTGTTCTTGGCCTTTAATAATGTTGTGATGCTTCTAAAAGCTAGAAATGGAATGAGGGGAGACTGACAACAATTACAGGACAAAACAAGAAAATTTCAGATAGTGATGAAGATTATAAAGAAAATAAAACCAATTACTGTGCTAGAGAATGACTTGAGAGAGGTACTTCAGTTATGATGCTTGCAACCGTAATTAAATGAATGATGGTACAAAAAAAATAATGTTATGACCTGGGCATCATCATTTAACCTTCCTGGGCATCATCATCTTCTGTAACACAAGGAAGTTCAGCCCAATGTGTTCTAACACGACCTCCTTTCTACAACCTTAGGTGTTGTTTTGAGTGAATCATGTCCCCCCAAAAGATATGTTCATGTGCTAACCCCCAGGACCTCAGAATGTGTGATCTGGTTCGGAAACAGGGTCATTACAGATGAAATTAGCTAAGACGAGGTCATACTGGAATGGGGTTGGCCCTTAATCCACTATGACTGGTGTCCTTATAAGAAGAGAACACAGACACAGGAGGGGAGAAGGCCATGGGATGATAGAGGTGGAGACTGAAGTGCTACAGCTGCAAGCAAATACATTTCTGTGCTGTGAAGCCACCCATTTGGTGGTACTATGTTAAAACAGCTCTAGGAAATTAATACAGATGTTGCCTCTATTTTTGTTTCTCATATTGCTACTCATTGTTTTAATGATGACTGTTTTATTCATTAAATTGAAAGCTCCTAGAGCAGAGGGACCATATTATTATGTCCCAACTCTCCTTAAGCTCCTTGCGTATGATAACACATCTCTTTAATGGAATTGTCCTAACTTTAACACAGACACCTTGGGTTATTTAATATGGAGAACAAAGGGTTAAGCTGGTGCCAGATGGGTTTCATTTTCTCTAAATCTGGAACCAAAGGCAGCAAGTCGATGGGGCTGGTGAGCTACGAAGAAGGATGTTCCACCAGCAGAGACTGTCAGGTATCAGAGTGGGCTACGACATTGCCTTTTCCAGAATTCTGTGGAAAACGAGAGAGGTTCAGTTACCTGGAATGATTTTTTGGGGGCTCCAGCCTGGAGGCATTCTAAGGTCCTATATGGGTCTTTTCTACCTTTGAATTCTCTGCTTCTCAAAGAGCAGTTTGGTGCAGTCATATTTCAGTATGGTCTGGCCACTTCTAAACCCAGCAGGCTGTATTCACTGTTGGGCCCTCACAAAGTTTCAAAGGAGCAAAACTGACAGGGCCAGCCTGTAATGTTATTGCACTGATTTATTTATGTGCTTTCATGAGTCTGGCAGTGTCTCCAGGGCAGGGGCAATGGTATCTCTCTTTGGATCCATCCATAGAACCTACAATAATCCCTGACATACAGAGTTTTCTGAAGGAATTCATAGACCTAGGGTTACTTTATGAAGGCAATGGAAGCTCAGAGAGAAGTGACACAGCTGTTAAGTGATAAAACTATAACCCACACCTTCTGCCTTTTCAGTTCAGATAATGCCTGTTACTTGACCACATATGGCCAAATCCTGAGTGTCTAAGTTTCCTAGTACAGTGTCTACATGACCCTGGCTTGCTTATAATTCCATGTTGGAACTTGAAAGGCTAACACTGGGAAGGTGCAATGACTTTGTTTTTAAATGGAAGATTTCCTCATTGCAAGTTTCTAGTTAATTGGACTTTGAACCTAATCTATCATTCTGTGTTGCTGGAGAGGCACGTTAAGATGGTAGCCAAAGAGATAGATTTTAAGATTTCCTAAATCATCAGAATACTCAATCTTGGTGAATATTCTCTGGGGCATTGATTTTAAGACACATTTCATCCCTTACTTGCACAATTCCATGGAAGACTTCATTAGAAGATATTTTTTGGCCTTGATGAGAATGTAAATGAGTTATGCTGGAGCTCTACACAATCAGGTATGAATGATAATTGGGTTTCTTCACTGAAATGCTAGGAAAGAGGTCCTCAAAAAGACAGAAAAACATTATCATGGGTAAGAGGCTAAATGTCTTCCAGGCACTATCGACTTGATAAGTGGAGCTTAAATAACCGGAGCTTGTTATTTAAATGCTAATGAGTTTTTTCCAGAAAATTACCCAGTCCCTTACATAAGTTTTGAAAATTTTCATTTTTATTCTTCTTTAAGTTTCTTGCAACTACAACTGTTGCAGCTCATTCTGAGCAGGTTTACGTCTGCCATAGAAGTTGGGGGGTGGTTGGGGGGTATAGTTTGCTAGTCCCACTTCAAGGATACAATTATTTCCTCCAATCCCCCAAACCTTGACCCTCGCTGCATCTCCTTGAGCTCACTCCCCAATAGTGGGGCAAAGATCTTCACTATCATAGCCCCTTTCCTCATTAAGATCACCCTATTTGGAAAATTCCATGGGAAAGTCGCACATGTCAGCCTTGATTCAAAGCCAGGTCTCTTTTCAAGTTAATTTTGTTCGTAATCTCTTTTTTCTAGATAAGAACAGTTTTACTGGTGGCCTGATAATGTTGAAAATATAGGTCAGGATATTAGTTTCCTTAAATCACAGCCCTCAGTTCTGTTCTGCGGGAGGCAGGCATCCTAGGATCAAAATTGTCTCAGTATGTAGAATACTGAAGTATTTGACACATTTATTTTTTAATAATTGGGTTTTTAGAGCCATTGTTTTGTACCTGAACTGAACTCTGCTGTATAATAATGCCTAAGATAGCAGCTAAAATACAATTTTTACTTGGATTCCACGGGTAGCCTTTTTTGTATAACTTACTAGCTCATCTACTAAGCAAATAAACGCTGGGATTTACTGCCCCTTCATGTAAAGTATTTTGTTAGGCTCCCAGCATCCTAACATAAATAAAACTCAGTGATTAAGCATCACGCCTGCTCAGCAGCCCATGAGTTGGAGGGCATGGGATATAAATAGCTCATGGCCTTTCAACCTGGGGTCTGAACCCTAATTAAGCTTCTGCCCATTGAATCAGATTATTTTAATTATCCCGAATTTGGGATGACAGAGGATTTTGTAGATAATAGGGTTACAGAACGTGTCATGTGTACTGTGATCATGCTTTTAATCTGCTTTCGTCCGTGCCATTGGTTTCCATATCTTGTAGTTGTGGAGGTCCAGCTTTACATAACAAATTTATTAATTGTCTCATAGAGAGGATGAAACTGGGAGATCTGAACACTCCCTCATGTAACTAACAAATGTTTATCTAGCACTTATTACATCCTGGACCACTGGATGCACCTCACCCACCCCAGGTATTTCCCTCAGGGCCGTTGCTAGTCCCATCCTGGGTGACAGAAGGCATTTTGTTTTGTTTTGTTTTTTCAGAGTCTCAACAGTAAAAATTCGAGTCCATGTTGTAAGCTTTTGTCATTGAATGTGCATATGTGTGAAGTCTATTCTTTAGTCTCTACATATCCTATATGTAGCATCTCTACCTAAAGGCAATGTAGAATGACTGAGAATGAGAGCTTTGGAATTAGGCTGCCTGGGCTGAAAGTTCATATTCACTACTCCCTGGCTGTGTCACTGGCCAAGTGACCTTGTCAGACCTGCCTAATCCCCTAGTCTCTGAGACTGGGTGATGTCATCACCCACCTTAAGAGCTGCCGTGAAGTTTGAATGAGATTAATGTGCCCAAGTGCTCTGGGCACAAGGGGCAGGCTCAGCCCGCCCTGCCTATGATTCCTGTGCAGCAAACATGACTCAACATCTTTTTTTTTTCCATTCCCATTGTTGCGATCTCAGAACATGATGGCTGATTGGTATTTATCCACTACGTGCCTGTGTCAGACACTGTGGCTGGTATGCAGATGAGGACATCAATAGAGTCCTAGTTTTCCAGTGTATTATAATCCACAGGAGAGACAGAGAAGTAATCAGTGCAGCAGAACAGCCAAGGGACGTGTTTTCACACACTGACAGAGATAAATAGCAAATTGTTACGATTTCTCCCACCCTTATAAGAATCTGTTGCAACCCTCTGGCAAACTAATAAAATGCCTAGAAACGTAACTTCTACAATGCAGTCATTCTGGTGTGCAAGCAACATGTTTTAGATGCTCTTCTTAAAAATAAAGAATGCTTGCAATGACAACACAGTCCTAACATATAAAATAGAATCATGATGTCTTTTCTAGCTGAGAAAATAGAGAATACAAATGAATCTCTGCAAATATGCCCAACTGCGGTGAGAAGAACCTGCTCCATGGAATTCACTGAGGTAGAAACACCTGGGCAGAGGTGAGAAGCTCTGGTGCAAGAAGCTAGTGGGGGAACTGTGCTTCAGAAAGTTCATGAGTTTCAGACTCTTGAACCCACTGTGGGGCCAGTCACCCATCATTTCTAATTCTAAATAAAACATGAAGTGTTGTCAGTCCCTCGTACTGTGGTTTTTAAGGAACATTTAACAAAAAAATGATCCAGAAGATCTTTTCCTAACACAGAGGGTTCCGCAAGTGCTAAATGAATAAGCTCATTTTGGAGAGTGAGGGGGGAACCAGAGATTGATGCATGCATTTGAGTAGATTTGCTTGATGTTGGTAAACATCATTTAGTGAAATTCATCACAAAGGAAACAAACATTGTTCTATAAGCTGCAGTGTTTCCCTGTGATCATGAGGCTAAGCCCCAAGGACAGCATCTCAGCACTCTCAGAATGAAATGCACCTGCCACACGCTGGCTTAGGGTAGGTACCCTGCAAGATGAGGACAGCTGTTTCTCTGTCTCACCTTTTCCTTGCCTTTCACTGTGCTGCAGTGCCAACTTCCATCCTCATCATGCGGGGAACCTTGGGAGCTTTTCCCTGCCGCCCCCCCTGCTCCCGCTGTGGCTCTGATCTTGTTTCATGTCTTCTCCTCACTGGAGGTCTTCCCGAATGATTTGGACCCAAGACAGCCCCTCCCACTGCTCCACATGCCCACTGACTCACCATGGCTTCATTCTCTTTCTGTCTAGGACTTACTGAGACATGAGAAACACTTTAGCTCCATGTCTAACGTCTGCCCCCTGACTAGAATGAAATGAACGTCTTTTTGTGTCTTACTCATGGTGTATCTCCATCACACAGCACTGAGCCATATATGTAAAGTGAAACCTGAATAAATATTTTTGAAAGCTGAATGAATGCATTAACATTCCCAGCCCTGCTTCCAACTGTATAGCCATGAGATATACACACGTCTCTCCCACGTGCATCCTGCCTGCCACTCACTGACCACTGGTTTACAGTATCTGCTGTGACTCAGGTTCATGTCTCTGTTGATATTTTACATGCCAACAAATCAACTTCCCCATTATTCTGGGGCTGACCATGCAGCCGGAAGGTTGCCAGTGCTTTTGTTTTGGGCTGCTTCTTCTCCTGTCTTAACTATTTATGACTAGCTTTATGCATTCTCGGCTGCTAGCTGACCACTGAAAGGAAAGTAGAAATGCACGTTGCTTTTTACCTGGCAGGAAGAACTGATGTGCTGGAGGGGTCCTGCCCTGCTGCGTTACACACAGGAAACATTTCTAACCCTTGCGGCAGTGTTTCTCAATGTGGGGTCCAAACAGCCAGCATTAGAATCACCCAGGGTATCTATCACCATGCAGATTCTTAGGCCAGAATCTCTTGGTGGAGGCCTGGAATTGATATTTTAAATAGGCACCAGGTGATTCTGATGCATGTAAAGGTGGAGAATGAGACCCAGGGCATCTGCTCTGTTGTCTCTTTTGCCTACTCTTCCGCTACCGTTTCTAACAGAATGCTGAAGCCAAGGCTGCATCGCTCTAAAAATCGAATCCTTTCAATATCTATAACTTTTTCTGATGTAGCAGCAAAAAAGTGGCTCTTAAACCCATTGGAGCAGTGTCTTGAAGTAGCAGCAAGCCACACCAGGCAGTTCACAGTGGAGAAGCCAATGGCTGAAGAGACGTCAAAGTCCTTGAATCTTTTTTTTTTTTTTTTTTTTTTTGAGACAGAGTCTTGCTCTGTCACCAAGGCTGGAGTGCAGTGGTGCAATCTCGGCTCAATGCAAGCTCTGCCTTCCGGGTTCACGCCATTCTCCTGCCTCAGCCTTCTGAGTAGTTGGGACTACAGGCACCTGCCACCAGGCCGGCTAATATTTTGTATTTTTAGTAGAGACAGGGTTTTCTCCATGTTAGCCAGGATGGTCTCGATCTCCTGACCTCGTGATCTGCCCGCCTCGGCCTCCCAAAGTGCTGGGATTACAGGCGTGAGCCACTGCGCCCGGCCTGAATCATTTTTTAAGAGCAAGGCTCTGGCACACACCCCTTTGCAAAGCTAATTCCCACTCATATCCCGTTTATGTCTTCAGAATGTACTAATGTGATCAAAGAAGAAAGGGGGGAAGAAGATTAGACAAAAGGAAGAGGTAAAAGACTTCTTTCGAATGTAGAATGTTCTTGAAAACATTTTTTAAATGAATTTCAATGCCTGCTGAAACTGTTTTCTGTATATTACAATGTTATTTTGTAGGCAACAGGTTTACTTCATAAAGCTCACTGCATTTTGCAAATGCTTCTCAAGCTAGGATTTATGAAGAATAGCTTTTAACATTATAATATTTATTTTTCTAATAATAACACACTAAGAATGTAAATTTTTGCAAAGAAATTGATTCGAGATTTGAAAGCTAGACATCAAAGCTTCCAAAATGATAATAATCAGGACATCAATTTCTCAGTCTTTAAAGAGATTTAGGAATGATTCCAATTATGAAGAAATAAGAGTATCTAATTAATAAGCTCTACATACATATTAGGGGATTTACCTTCATTGCAGTAATTAATTTCCATATATTATGGATGCAAATATTAATAACAGAATCCAACATAATCTTCACATTAACCAGAACTATAATTTTTCTCAAACAGCATGTTCAGGGGGAAAAGCATAAGCTTTGGGGATAGACAGGTCTGTTGTTGAATCTTGGTTTTACTACTTATGTGTGCAACTTCATGCATTTGCATAATTTATCTGAGGCTACAGTTTTCTCATCTGCAGAATAGAGGCTATGATACCTACTTCATGAGTAGGTATCCTACAGGATTGTTGCAAAGATAACTTGCATGACATCATCTTTCTATCCCAATACTGGCACACAGCAGATACACACTAATGTGGATTACCTTCTTCCTTTTCTGTGTTGCCTAAATTAAAAAAAAAAAAATACATGTACCTGAAATTTCTAGCACTTTTTATAGTAAACCAATACTAACAGTAATTCAACTGACATGATAATAGCCAAGATCCATCCATAACAGCTCATTATCCCAACTAGAGATGTTGTTATACCCATTTGTTTCTCAGGCACAGGTATGAAAAGCCACACATTTTCATTTGAGAGAGAAAGAGCATTACTATGTTTTCAGTGTTGTTAACACCCACACATTTGAAGTGTTGTTGACCACTCACTCGTTCCCGGCCGAGCATCTGAAACATCCACTAAGGGCCCAGTGGCCTGAGACACCGATTGGTAATGGACCGTGTGAGTGACCGTCAGGGACTTCTGCTTCGCTGCCTCTCCAAAGTCAGCATCCGTCAACAGAACCGTGGAGCGATCATCTACAGAACAGCAGGAACACAGACAGAGAGCCAAACACGTTTACCTCCCTTCCAACGACTCCCTGGCCTTTTCTCTCCTGAGGCACTTGTGTTACTGTTAATGACAACCACAAGAACAGCCTCATCTAAAGTGACAAAAATGATTGCAAATTCAAGCACTGAATCAGCATTACTCTAGAGTGCTAGGAATAGAAGCTTCTTCCTAGGGGTTGGTTTTGGGAGCACTGAGCTAAGAAGAACCATGACTATGCAGAGAAGGAGCTCTTCTTTCTCTTTGCGCTTGGTTTTTCATCAAGCTAACATTGATGTGAACTCTGGATTTATGTGTTTGTCAAAAGCTTCTCTGAGACATCATCTGCAGCGCCAGCCCACTCACCAGTGATGAGGCTGTCAATGAAGATGGATCCCTTTGGCTGCTGGGAAGCTCTGTTTGCAGGACTAGAAAATCGCCACTGCAGTTCTCTCTACTGAGGCTTGCTCTTATTCTGAACTTGGCAAATGTTTGGAGGCGAAATAAAGAGAAGAAAACATGCCAGTCTTCAGAGCTTATTGATTCCTCTATTTTAAAGGACTCAAGGTATGTTCCTTTTCTTCCCACCTCCTGTACGCTTTAATCACTCTAGAACATCCATTAACTGACTTCTCCTACGTGATTCACTTGTCAGACTTCCCAAGTCCTACTGCCGTGGGCACTTGAAGGTGAGCAAGGCAGGAGCCTGGGTTTGGATGGGTTCTGGGCATCTCAGTGTTTGGAGCAGGAGCCGCTGTTTGAGCTGGGTCATTATTTGGTGGTCCAGGGTTCTCATTACTACCTCGTGATATGTTCCATACTTTTTAAAGAGCTTTTTTACTCCAAGGGAGACTTTGGCTAGGATATATAGATTTTTCATAAATTTTCAAAGACTGCAGCCCAGGATGCTGTTGCTGGGAGTTTATCAGTCAGCAGGGACCACGCTGCAGCCTGCCCTGACACTGCAACAGGGATGCGAAAGTCGTAAACAACACAGCTCGACGCCCATGCCCAAAAAAGGCTCTGAACAGAATGAACCTTACAAAATCCAATTACTCAGGCTCTGGCAGGAAAGGAAAGCCTCTCGAAGTTAGAATAAAATTTCTTGGCAGAGAAATAGAGGAAAGGCTGCCAAGATGTCTGTGAGTATCCCAGCGTGTGGTGCGGTGAGGGTGGCACCACAGCAGGAGCCAGGGCTTGGCCTGGAGGTCCGGCCCCGTGGCGGTCACTCGACTCCTCCAAGAGGGTGGCTCTTCCACAGAGACAGTGTCCTACAACTGGACCCAGCACCAGAGGCTCCATGTCTACATTTGTTTTTCATTAATGATGGGAGGTATCACAGTTTCTAGCATGCAGGCCTTTTTAGATCACACCAGATGATCTGCGGGGCTAGGTTACACACTTCTCATGGAAAATTTTGGTCGCCCGTCTGATCATGAGGTTAACCATTCATACTAGTTGGAAATTAATGTCACTGTAATATTGGATTCTTGTAGTCAGAGCCCGGAGCATTTTAAAGCACCACAGTTCTACTTCCCAGTAATTAGAAAATGCCATCGACCAATTGTCAGGCATCACAAGGAGGTCAAGGGCTCTCGCTGATAGATGATCCGGCATGGACTGGGATGGATCTCTGGCTAAGGGTCATATTTACAAATGGAAATGACTGGCAGAATTTCTCTGGTGTTAAGCCCCCAGTGACCAGCTCCTGGCAGGCCATAGACCACTCATGGCATCTGCCTATCTATTTTCATAGCCATATGTAGGATTATTAACTCTAGTGAGGCGCATTTAGCAAATACTGTAACCGTGTTATATAACCATGGTGACCTCCACAAGCTATGTAACCTCTCTATGTCTCAGTTACAAAAGAAACTTTTCCTATGTTGGCTGGAAGGGTTAAATTAAACAATGCATATAAAGGGCTTATAAAATTACATGGTCAAAGGAATTACATTCTGATTTTTGAAATTTTTTCAAAGGAAATGTTTAGTTTTAATGCCCAATCTACTGCGTGAAACTAAAGAGATTCCAGGTCTACCTTTCCCTTTCCAAAAAAAAGATTATCAAAAGCAAAACATAGTAGCTTATCCCTTATCCTGATATAAGCAAGCTAATAAAATCTTGTGTACTTCAGGGCAGGTAGTGCCTCCTCATATACATGGTTTAACTGAAGCGTTTCACTGAAGTTAGCCCATCAAGAGCCACTTTGGACTTGACCAGTCTTGCTTTAAGGGCTGCTATGCCTGGACCAAATGCGACTCCAGCTAGGAGAACCCAGGCCTTAGAATTTAGGAGCCATTAGGTCAAGATGTCTCCGGTGGTGGGCGGGGCAGCAGAAGGGCAAGGGTTGATGGAGGAGGCGTTCTGCCCACGTGGCCTCTTACCACTGCCTTCCTGGCAGGAGACAGCCGGGCTATGTGCTGAGAGTCAGGCAGTTTATCCAGACCACAAGGAAGGGTTGCCCTGGAACCCATGCCAGCCAACACCTTCCAAAACAAACATAGCCAGGTTTGAAAAGAGGCAGCCTTGGAGCCTGCCTCAGAGTGTTTCCATGGGCACTTAAAAGCTTGGGTAACTTCTGGTTGAGGGTTTCTTGGAAGCAGCCTGTTGGTGTGGAAGCAGGTGGCCTGCTGCTGTGCTAGCTGTCACTGGAGACGGACAGCATGGTGGTGAGTGTGGCCAGGTGGGGAACCTGGTTCTGCGCCTGTCTCTGTGACCTTGGAATGCTACACAGACCTCTCCACATCTTGGTTACAAAAGCAAGACTTCTTTCATAGGTTGGCTGAAAGGTTAAACTAAGTAATGCACACGAAGTGCTTACAAAAACTATGTGACATTTACAGAATTCTCAGTACACGTTAGCTATTCTTCTCATTATTATTGGAAAGGAAATATAAGGTATTTCACTCCAGAATAAATAGAATAATCGAGGGAGGCAGTGTGGGGTAATGGACTTCAGGTGGAAAGAGGCTGGGAAGAGTGAAGACACCTGGGTTCTGGGTGAACAAGCCAGGAAACCTCCAGGTGGCTGTTCTGAAACCCTAAGACTAGGGTCCTGGTGTTTTTTCCAAAGTGCTGCTGGGGAAACAGCTGCAGGATGTTTCTGGGGCATGGGTGTGGGGGAAGATGCCCTGTACAAAGACATGTGTTTGTTTAAGTGTTAAGTATAGTTTAAAAGTTTTCTTTAAGGACGGCTTGCGTTATCAGAGTTGATGAGGGGGGCACAGAGTGGATTTTCAACCTGGGGCTTTAGAGTGCAGGCCTTCTGGATTGATGTGTATTTGATTACAGATGTTTATTCCTTGGAGTGGCATCCATAGCCTCCCCTGGAAAGATCCCAAATGGATCAGAGCTAGGGGATTTCTGTCCCAAATGCCTGGAAATGAATGGCATATTGGCATATATGGTGGTAGATATAAGTCAAATTTTCTGCACATTTGCTGGTACTTACTCTTTTTCACAAGAACAATTCTCTACTTTCTAGCTTTTGTACTCATGTAGCCTTCAAGACACTCTCCTGTCTAATATTTCCCACACCCCGGGGTTTGGATTGAGATGGCATGGCTGTGGCAGCCACTTTGTGTAAAGTGGTAAATAGGGCACCTTACCGATGGTCTCCATTGTGTCTCTCTCTTCAATCAAAAGCTGAGCCCTGGGAATGTCGATGTGCATTCGCAGGGTTTGCTGCTGCTTGCTTAAGGTATCTGAAGTCCGGGTATTCTTACTGGGAATAAAATGGGGGAATGCATTAACAAATCCAGTTCAGTGTTAACATTCTACCAACATGGACCTGTATACCAACTTAGTTTATTGTCTAAATATACAATACCTTGTGGGGAGGAGAACAGAAAAAGTACATACTATGAAAATGTTTCCTTCATTCAAATGTTATTTATTAATATTAAATTTCAGCTGGCTGGGGAGTTTCAGAAAATACAAATTGTCAGTAGAGACTGGCTCTACATCTATCAATAGAATCTTTAGAAAGTTCTCATTTCTTGTGTAAATGCTAAATGAAACAAATGAAAAGCAATTAAAAACCAACAGCATTTTCATTTGTCACATATGAGATATTCCAGTGAGGGTGAGGAATAGAGCACCAGATATTCCAAAGATGGTGAGGGAAAAAGCACGTGCACCAGCTGTTTGTCGGATGGGAGTTTTACTAATGGATTTGTATTTATATCTGGTGTCATTTTATGTTTGTTCTAGAAGCAAATCACAAACCTTGTTAGCTTCCCTGACATTAGTTTTCCTAACTGATAGTACATTTTAGAATAGAAAAAAGAAAAGCAATTACTATCATAATTTAATCTCAAAATTTGTGTTCCAGAAAATTACTCTTAGAGTGAGCTGTTCTCTAAAAGTAAATGAAAATAAGTAGTAAAACTGCATGGTAGAATTGTATTCAGTAATGGCCTGCAGTTAAAAAAAATCTCCACGTTGCACAAAAATCTAAGAAAGTCAATAAAGACCTTAAGTAGCAATCCACATTAGAAGGGCGGTTGTTCAGTCTTTACAGAATAATAAGACTTTACTAGATGTTCAAATAGTATTTGCTAAAGCATCCTGTAAGAAGTAACAGTCCCTTGGATAATCCAATCAATGGCATAATCTATGGCATCCATCAGTCCAGCTCAATTGTTGTTAACACTAGTTTTGAGAAAGATTTCCGGAGCCTAGTTAACTCAATAATGGTTTACCTCTGTGTTACTTTCAATGGAGACCGAAATAGGAATACTCACGCTACATTTTAAATGCTTTCCCCTCTAACCAAGCCATTCACCCCAAGTCCCAGGGCTCTGCCTCCACCGATCCTTCCTTGTTAATGAGGACTCATCCATTCTTGAACCAAGTGGTGGACAGAATCTTAATTATCCCAAAGTGAAGTTCACTCAAGTACCCCCTTAGATGTTTGCCTGACGAGATCCATGTATACTCCTCATTTGAGGAAAAGCAAATTATCCCATGAGAAAGACAACTTCTGAAAGGTGCAACATTTCTACTTGGGACTTGATCTTGAACCAGATTTCTTGCTCTGCAGATGAGGAACTGGGTTATATACCTACATCATGCTAATTATGCAGAGCCCAAATTCAAACGTTTTGTCCTGATTTTTCACATGGTCTCTGTGCTCTTTCAAATTACTTAACTCACTTCTCATTTATTGATTTTTTTAAAAACAGAGTAACAAAAAATTCAAATAATCATATAAAATGAAGAGCATTTTGGTTACTTGGGGGTGTGCACTTACGGCATGCTTAGACAAGCTATATTTCCACAAAAACATATGGGGAACTACTCCTCTGTGAATATCCCAAAGATCTGTTTAGAAACCTCACTAGAGACTTGAGCTTGTCCTTGCACCAAAAATAGAAGTGTGAGCTAGTTCCTTCTGCTCTTCATGAATAGTTATGAGGCAGTCAGCGGCTGCTCTATTAAATAGCGATGAACACCAAGTGCAGGCTATACTTAAACAACAATAAGGGGTCTGCTACCAGACTGCCACAGGAAGCAGGCTAAATAATGGCTGTGAACCGCCACGACTGGCTGGCATCAAGATTTAGAACATGATTCGACCCTGCGAGCCAGGACGACCAAGGCTGGAGGTAAATTCTTCCTCCTCAGAAGACTATAAGAAAATGGCCCAACAAACCTTGAGATTCAGAAGCTAATTGTTTTTTGTTGTTGTTGTGATTGTTGTTTTTTTTAGAGACAGGGTCTTGCTCTGTCACCCAGGCTGGAGTGCAGTGGTGCAATCACAGTACACTGCAGTCTTTTTTTTTTTTTTTAGACGGAGTCGTGCACTGGAGTGTAGTGGTGCGATCTCGGCTCACTGCAAGCTCTGCCTCCCAAGTTCACACCATTCTCCTGCCTCAGCCTCCTGAGTAGCTGGGACTACAGGTGCCTGCTACCACGTCTGGCTTTTTTTTTTTTTTTTTTTTTGTATTTTTAGTAGAGACAGAGTTTCACCCTGTTAGCCAGGATGGTCTCGATCTCCTGACCTTGTGATCAGCCCGCCTTGGCCTTCCAAAGTGCTGGGATTACAGGTGTGAGCCACTGCACTCAGTTGGACTCACAGTTCTTTCTCTTTGCACTTGGCTGCTCCCTTTGTTTAGAACACACTTCCCCTGCTACCCCCAAAACTGCCATAGCTGGCTCCCTCCTTGCAAAGCTCAACTCAGATGCCATCTTTCCAATGGAGCCAGGCTGGCCATGTGATGGGGATGTCTCATGAGTCCTCTCCCCATTCTCTGTTTAATTTTGTCTCCTTGGCACTTATTACTCTCTAGCATATACTTAATTGATTTATCTTATCCATTATCTGCCTCCCTCACTGGAAAATATGCTCCACCAGGGTTTTCTTCACCTGCTCTGTTTCCTGTGTCTCCCTAGGACTTAGAACAGTATATGGCCAAAGTAAGTGCTCAATAAATATCTATTAAGTAAATCCTCACACTGATTTATTTTGAGGGCACAATGTGAGCTGAGTGACTTTGTTTTGACGCAATAATATCCTTCTCATTCTAAAAGGGTCATTGGATTCCAACTACGTTATTCCATTACTTAATATTTGCTGTCATTTTTGACAATCTATTGTTACATTTATATTTATCACTCTGTGTTCTGTGAACCTCAAAAATGATAACAATTGGTCATTAGAATGGCAGCAAACCTTAAAAAAGTGATTTGAATAAACCTCATTTGCAACCTGGAAAAAAGAGTCCAAATGTTTTCACTGTGGAAGCAAAAATTGCATCTTTTTGGCATGGCATAGGATCATGCTAAATATATTAGTTATTATTGAGCTATAATCTTCAACCATCCATTTATTTGCCATCTGGTTGTTTGATTAAAATGAGAAGAAGAGGAGAGCAGAGGGGGTTTCACAGGGCAGAGAATTTCCCGGCTTAGCCAATCAATTATTTGCAGCCACTGCCACTCTTCAAAGTCTTAATAGTCCATCATCCTCCCAAATATGACACAGAACACTCCTTAAATGTACAAATGACTATGGGACTGTTAGGAGCATAGCTCATTATAACACTAGGGTAGAGATTTTTTATGTGCACAAAAATACGAACATCAAAAAAGCTAAACTAATTTGACCATTCCATTTGAACCTTTTTCTACTTACACCCAACTCACTCACTAATACTGATTCCTGGACCTTAAACATTATACATGTTAGCTCTCTACAGTATACAGGTTAGCTCTTTAGAGCAAGCACCTCTTAGAAGGCTGTTTCTTTTTTTAAATCTTGCATAAAAATATAAAAGGACAACCTTTCTATCTAGGTGTGAGGGATGCAGTCTCTCTTCCCTGGGGTGATGTGCGTGGGTAAAATAGGTGGGTATCTAGGAGCATGAAGCTCAGCAATGGGTGATGCTGCCATGCCAGAGATCCCTGGGGACCCAGGCTGAGTGGTATGTTCTGCTGTCTCACCTGCCTTCTTGGCCTGGCCCTCAGCTAATCTCCCTGAAATACGCAGATACTTCTTGGTAGAAAATGGTTGAAAAAATAAATGTTACATTCACCTAGAACACAGAACATGGAGTGATAAAGCTAGAAACAATGTTGAATATTTTATTTTTATTTTTTAGGTAAGGAAATCAAGACACAGTGGTAAAATGACCTGCTAAGATCTGAAAACCAGCTTATGGCCACACGGGGCCTAGAACATAGACTTGTGGTTCATATTCTCACTCCAGCTCCTTTGACTTCCAGAGACAACCGCAGCACAGACCAGGGGTAGCTGTTCAGTATCCTCTCTGCCAATGGACACGATTTGTCTGGACCCCTTGGGACATGTCCAAAAATGGTTGATCCTAAATTGACCAGTTAGGTAATGAGGTCTTTGTGTGTTGGCCCATTCACCTGCCAAACTTAGATTGAACGAACCTTTCATGGGTAAAAGCTTTGCTTTTACTTCTAAATTAATCCCATAAAAATCCACCTATTTGAGAAGCTTGAAAATTCTCTTCCTTTTCAATCACTTTGACCATTTGAAGGAAAACCACTGTAACTATCATAAGTGGTTGTGATTACTGGTTTTACTGTTCCTAATTCATCCTGGCAACTGGCAATAGGAAGACCATAATTAATTCCTCCTCTTATCAACAGATGGTCTTGCAACCACAGCACTGCCCTGTTTATAGAGGATGCTTGCTAATGTCTTTCTCAGAGGCTAGGGAGAAGGAGTAGGAATACACTCTAGAACATCAGGAGAAGTGAAAAAGCAATCATCCTAACTGAACAAATGTTGAACATGTCAGAAAATATAGCCTGCAGTTTCACAGCCTCTGGACAAAGGCATGATTTACAGTTTGGAAGTAGATAGGGGAGGGGCCAGGGTAGGTTGTGCAGAGCACAGCTGAGGGGAGGAGAAGCTGTCTGGGGGGCTGCAGGAGTCGTGCTCAGTGTACGAACTGGTGAAGCAGGCCAGGGGTGGGGGCTGCTGTGGTGAGCAAAAGTCACGCCATTCTAAAGGGGCACTGTGCCTACCTCCAGGCACCATTATGACCTCAGCGATGTCCAGTATGGCCAGGGCATTTTCAAGAGAAATCAGAAAGCCAATTGTTTTTTCTTTTTTTTGAGATGGACTCTTGCTCTGTCGCCCAGGCTGGAGTGCAGAGGCGTGATCTCGGCTCACTGCAAGCTCCGCCTCCTGGGTTCACACCATTCTCCTGCCTCAGCCTCCCCAGCAGCTGGGACTGCAGGCACCCGCCACCACGCCCAGCTAATTTTTTGTATTTTTAGTAGGGATGGGGTTTCACCCTGTTAGCCAGGATGGTCCCGATCTCCTGACCTCATGATCCGCCCACCTCGGCCTCCCAAAGTGCTGGGATTACAGGCGTGAGCCACCGTGTCCGGCCCAGAAAGCCAAATTTTATATGAAATCTCCTCATTTTAAACGTCATCAACTAATTCATATTTTTAAAGTCTATCTTTGACAATTTCTTTTATTAGGTAGATCAGTTATTACAAGTCAAGTGACTCTGACTTCTTTCTTTTCCATGTTTTATCAGATCTACTCAACACAAGTGCATGTGTTTGGATGTATTCCCTGTGACCCATAAATGTCACACAAACAAAGAGCACGGGCTGAAGGCATCTCATGCAATGTCTGTAATCTTCTCCCAGAAGTGTGATGAAGTACCCCTTGTGAAGGAGATACTGTAGAGAGAATTTGCATCTTTGCTTTTCCTCTGAGCTCCAGATTTCTGCTACCAGTTGTCTATTTGATACTTCCTCTGGATGCCTTAAAAATAATCCCAAATTCAACATGACCCAGACAGGTGTTTTCAATCCCATCAACACCTCCTCCCAACCTACCTTCCAAAAAAATCAAAAGTCCATAGCCTGCCTCTATCTTCCTCATCGTGGCAGATGGCACCAACATTCATCAGATCAGTCACAACAAATGCATTTTAGAGTTATCCTTCCCCGGTGACTCAAGCCTGTAATCCCAGCGCTTTGGGAGGCCAAGACGGGTGAATCACCTGAGGTCAGGAGTTCGAGACCAGCCTGGCCAACATGGTGAAACCCTGTCTCTATTAAAAATACAAAAATTAGCCAGGCATGATGGTAGGTGCCTGTAATCCCAGCTCTTTGGGAGGCTGAGGCAGGAGAATCGCTTGACCCGGGAGCTGGAGGTTGCAGTGAGCCGAGACCACACCATTGCACTCCAGCCTGAGCAACAAGAGCAAAACTCCATCTCAACAACAACAACAAAAGAGTTATCCTTCATACTATTGTTTTACCTACAACTCACATTGTTTTAAAATACAGTATGGCCAAACAAAATGTCTGTAGGATGGAATCTGTGTGCCAACGGCATTCTACTACTGCCTTCGGTCTTCAAAGATACTAGTGATATGGAACATGTGAAGTTTTTAAATAACAAAAAAGTACTAATTTTATATGTGTAGATGGAGAAGGAAGTCACAGCCAAATGTGTTGGTGATGGGAGTGGGAAGAGATCCTAGATCCACCCTCTTTCTCTCCCACATAAATCATCCTAAACTGGCAATGTTGAGTTCACCATCGGAGTCCTTGCCATTTTTCCTACTTATTTTCTAGACTCTGATTTTCCTTTTTCACTTTTCATTTAATCATTGCAATATGAAAGGCCTAAAATGCAAATATCAGGCTGAGGTAACACATCAGGCAATTAATCCATACGTGTAAATGCTTCATATCGGAGTGTTCCGTTATTTACAGAGTAAAAAGGTGGGACAGCACAAGAAAACTGAACGTTTGAAGAGGGGGACTGGGTGGAAAATAGAGTTTGGGGACATGAAAGCAACGCGCTTGTCACAGCTTTGCCGATCACAAGCCTGTGGACGTGTGAAAGGAAAGCTGTGAAGGATGCATTTCTGTCTTCCACAGTTGTGAACATTCTCGTACTTACTCAATAACCACTCTTCATTCATCCCATCCACGGTTATGAATGAGGCAACTACTGTGCTGACTACTCCTAACATGAGGATGAACTATGAAGGCTATGACTTCCAGGACCAGAATAGACAGTGAATAGACAGTGGTAAGAGGAGCTGATGGGTGCCCTGGTGGAGGGTGTTGATGGAGACCCAGAGCCTTTGAAGAGCATGGGGCACAGCACATTCCTTTTGTGCTTTTCTTTTAACTTGGATGACTCTGTTAGAAAGATGGCTTGACCTCACGAGTAGTAAATTTAGGTGAAGGCAAAACTAAAGCTACTTCCTCTTTATGTGCCTCTGTTCCCCAGCTAATGGAAGCCTTCTATTGGTTGTGTCCAGCCAACAAGACATGTCTACAAATACATCAATTTCATCTACAACTTCAGCGAGGTATTACATACATATTTTGGAATGTATAGGAAATTGCATTCTTTTCTAAAAAGAAAAGATATTATCCATTTCAGACTGCCATTATTAAAAAAGAAAAGAAATTATCAAGGCAAGTTGGAAATTGTTCTTTCAAACATGGTATCTGGGGTCTTGTTCTTACCTCATGAGCATTTCAGCTAAACTCTTTGCATCTGGGGAAAGAAAGTTAACATTAGTACATGGTAAATAACTCATTAACATTCACTTAGGCATTTATGACAAATACTCTACAGTCAGATCACAACAGTCATTTTTAAACACAATCATATACCCAGATTACTACTAATGACCTCGAGTTTTATGGAGTCCTTATTTCTTCTAAATGAGACTTTTAAAATATATCTTATTTTAATTACAAAAAGATCAACATAACTATCCTATGATTATAACATTCTCAGACATCTACTAAATGTTTTATTCCAACCTACAGTAACTTCTAGGAAATCCAATTTTATTTTCGGTAGCCAGAAAATTAACATTTTGAAAGTATATCATTTATGTTGAACAAACCCACGCTTTTTGTTATCAAAATATCAGAAGTAAGTGGCATTATTATAGAGCTCTGAGTTCCTCGGGTTGACCAAAGAATTGTATAAATGAAATATAAATGTTCCTGGAAACTTAGATGTTTATTTCGAATTCAGAAATAAAAAAAACTTCATTTTTTTTTCTCTGAGGACATTGTTTACCAAGACCTGGTTATCACTCCTGACAGAAGGAATCCTGACTAAAAGTGTAGAAAAAAAAAAAATCCAATTTTTTTTGGTGGTGCTATTTTGAAATTCCCGTTTCCCTTAAAATATAATTTATTCTTTTTACACATTTGGTCCTGGCAAAAATGAATGTTTCCTTACTTAGAGCACAAAAACCTTCTTTTCTTTTTTATTTCATTGCTCTCTAAAAAGTCTTGATGCTAAGTATACTGTTCAATGAACAGAACTTTCCGGAAATGGACTCAACTGACGGTGTGACCAGCTCTCCAGTGAAAGAATACATATGTGGGAGCATTTCCATCTCATGCCTTTGGGGGCTGGCAAACGTGGTCAGTTTCTGCACAGTGAGCAGCATGCTATTTCTGAAAGACGTGGACAGTCACAGAATGACCACGTAGAGGCTGTCCTCGCCATGAGCCAAGCTTAGATCGTTAAGTCGGCCAGTCCCAATGGTAACCCCAAGATGGGGCCTGGTTTTGTGCACAGATGGGTTCAGTCTGGGAAATGAAACAGGGCCCATCTACTCCACCCACACAGCAAAGAAAAGAAAGCAAAATAGCATTGGATTTCCCAGTTCATGTCTTTATACTTATCTGCAAAGACACAGCAAATATAATGAATTTCCTCTTTCCCCGAATGACTTAACACTTACAAAGTATATACATATATGTGCTTATATATACTTCATGTGTGTGTGTATACATATATATACACGCATACATATAATGCCGCCAGAAACTTGGACTTAATTAGCTCCAGGGAACTACCAAGCAGTGGCTGGTACAATACTCTAAAAAGGGGGAAACAAATTCAAGGAGTAAACATCCCACTTCAGTTCACACTTGGAAGAGTTATCAGCCTCAATTGTCTTCAGAATCAACTGCTCTCCTCATTCTGCCCACCACAATAATTCTCCTTTCCTATTCTCGGTCAGTCATCAAGCTCTCTCCTATGAGCTGGTCATGGCAATGTACTAAGGAGTTGCAGTGTCCAGCAGGGAGAAAAGAGCTCCCTGTAATGACTGCCATACCAACAGCAGACCTCTCTTGGCTGCCACGTGCAGGCATCCTCCCCCAGGCTCAGGTCTTTCACAGGTCTAGATGCCCAAAGCCGTTTGGGTCAACCCTTCCCTAAACCTAACACTGACCCTACCTTAAAGGAGCATGGGATGTGGGGAGTTTTGACATGAACGGGCAGTGTGCTCCATGCAGAGAATTCACATGCATTGGAATTATGAGCCCATTTGAGAAGTAATGACTAGGTCAGTTTGACTGGACAGAGAAGTTGCCAGGATGGTGGTCTGGTGCACAGTCTAGACATTAAAGAGCTAAGATGTGACTTTGTATTACTGACCTGAAAGCTTCTACCTGGGCCAAGGGGAGAGAGGAAAAAGAGCAGCAGAGGTGGGTGGTGGATGGGTGTGGGTACTGTGAACTCGCGTCCACCGGGCAATCCAGAATGCTCTGAATGGGGAGGTGGGGGCCTGGGACTTATTGAAAGCTTCTTAGTCCTTAGTCCAAGTGACAGGCTCTGGGCATTGGAGAAGAGAGCAGGGGTTGTGTGGGTAACATTATAATGTGAAGATAGAGGAAATCTGTAAGAATCAGAGTCCTACCAGGTGTACAGTGGGACAAGGAGGAGTTGCAAGGAGTCCAGGAAAAGGGCAAGATTTGGGATGTGCAGAGCTAGATGTAGTAACATGAGTGACAGGAATGGTCTAAAACAATATGGAAGCAGCAATTTGGGGAGAGACTCATCTAGTTTCAATATCGGGGGATATTAGGTGAGGCTGTTTCAGAGGCAAATTTGGAATCAAGTTTGGAAAGATGCCAGGGCTGAGATGAGGGTCTGGGTGTTTTTCATATCCCCATAGCGAGAGTGCAAAAAGAAGATGGCAGAGTCTCATCTGGGTCACACTTTCATTAAGGGTGAGAAGAGAGTCTGAGACAAGCCAAGAAAAAATTTAAAGTCCCAGATTCACAGAATCTTAAGAGCAATAAAGACTTTTCAGATTGGCCTCCTAATGAATGTTGGAATCCCTTTCACAATGTCTTACACAAACGTGCACATATTCTCTGTCTACATGAATCTAGAGCTGGGGCCACTGCCACTCCAGCTTTGGGGTCAGTGCTCCTGCTGCACACCTAGTGTCCTTCCTCTCCTCCCAGTACTCTCCTGCCTTCCAGGTCTGCAGGTCTCTCCCAGTCAGCATGTCCCCAGGGGAACCTTTGTTTCTTCTCTTCTCAGTCCTAATCTCACTTATTAGTCAGCATCATTATTGCTGGTGTGCCCAACACTGATATCCACACTGCAGGAAGGGTGAAGACTTGGAATCCATCTTACTGCATCACACCTGTGCTTTGAAACCTTCAAAAGGACCTTGTTGCAACAGCCCTCATCAGCACAGAGAACCACCTTCCACGCTGGTCCAAGCTGTCATCCGGCTCTGCTGCCGCTCACTTGTAACCTCCAACCTCTCTCTGAGTTTCCTGCACTTGCCACTTTCTGCAGAGAGCCCAAGGCTTTGCTAGTGCAAAGCCCTCCATTGTCCCCACCACCCCATGCGGATTCAACTTTCTCCGTGCACCCTCCCATGCCCAGTAGGCAGGGCTGAAGCTTCAGTTCCCTCTGCTTCCCTGAACCTCTGCCTTGTATCTCACACATCTCTTCCCAGCTCATACTGTGCCCACCTGTTTCTGGGTTGTCTTTCTCTTGGCCCCTTTGGGCACAGTCCTGTCCCTGATCCACAGTGAAGCTACACAAAGATTTACTGAGGACACATTTAACTGTGAGAGACATCTTCCTTTTCTCGTGCAGAAATTCCTTGATGTAATTTTAACCTGAAGTCATTTGCAAGCCGTTCAGATATTTCTATGGAGGTGCGTGTCCCTTGCTTGGCCTTACCTTTCTCTTTTCTGGGTTACACTCTCTAACTCTCTCAGCCACTCCTCATACGGAATGATTTCTAGGTAATTCCCCACTTGGGACTCTCCTCTTTGAAAGGCCTGAGATTTTTTTATTTCTTTATTAAATGAGGTTGAGAAAGATGCTGGTAATTCTTGATCTTCTAGCACACTAGGGAGAGCACAATGCTCATTATATGTGTTGCAAATGAATTTTTTTTTACAACTTCTATACAAGACTTCACAATTATTCCTATTAAACTGTATCTTCTTGGTTCCAGCCTTTCAAAATCTCTTAAAATGTGGATTCGTCCCTCTAATTCATTAGCTTCCCCACCAGGATATATGTGGCCTCCAAGATTGGATCAACCTGCCCATGCTTTCAGCAACATCCTGGTGTTCCCTTATTAATCAGCCCTGTCAAAATGCAAATGGAGTTTGTCCCGGCCCCTGGTGGTCCCTTCTGTTCCCTGATTGCTCACAAAACATCCTTTCTACAACCTCAACTAACTTATTTCAATCTATAATGTCCAGAATGAATCCTGTTGTTGAAAACGGGTCCAGGGTATAGATGCTCTTTGACTTATGATTACCTCCTGATGAACCCATCATCAACTGAAAATATAACTAAGTCAAAAATGCATTTAATATGCCTGACCTACCAAACATCAGGGCTTAGCCTAGCCTATCTTCCACATGCTCAGAACACTTACTCTAGGCTACAGGTGGGCAAAACTAGCTAACACAGAGCTTATTTTATAATAAGGTGTTGAGTATCTCATGTAAAAGTGTTGGATCACATGTCACTAACCCAGACAAAGATCAGAGTTCAAAATACAGTTTCTACTGAATGCGTATCACTTTTGCACTATTGTAAAGTCAAAAACTCCTACGTTGAACCACAGTAAGTCAGGGACCATCTGCATCATCATTTTCTAACACCTCTAATTTGCATTTGATTGTTCAAAGGTTATCCAGAAAGATCTTGGGGTTATGTCTGGAAAAATTTTGTTCAGAAACCTAAAATGTTGTCCTTCAGCATCATGGAACTGGAACCCCATGGCAGCCTCCCTAAGTTTTTAGTGGTGGTGGAGATCTTTCCCTTCAGTGAAACAGCACAGCATTTATTGTGTCTGCATTAGGCTGCTTAAGCTTCGGAACTTGTGTAATAGTTCTTTGTAAACACTGTCTGCAAAAAGCAACATCTACACCTCCACATAATGGCTAATACACAGTATGTTTTGAAAAAAATAAATCATTTTAAACTATCAGGGCGCTGATTATTTTCATAAGCATCCTGAGTCCCTCCCCTCCCCTC